AAATCCTAGGATGTCTGTTTCAAAATGGCCAATACCAATCCATTTCAGCTCACTAATGCCTAGGATATCTATCTTTATGTGGAACATATTTTTCACATTTGAAAACTTTCAATTTCCTTAGAGTCATACTTTGTACATTCCATTTTTCAATTAGTAATAGCTGTTTGCCATTGGTTTTCCTCATCAGAAAATGAAGGTCTCAAGAGCTGTACTCTATTGATGTTTTTGTGATGAACTGTACTTTAATGAGGCAGCTCTAACCAAATCATATTTCCAGTGCCTTCTAACTTGAGGGACTCATCTTCTGCCACTATATCTGACAATACTCTACTACTATTCATTATATTATCATATTTTTATATATTATATTAATTCTATTTTTATATAATGAATATTTATGTATTGAATTTATATAATGGATATTTATATAATGAATATATAACATATTCATTATATAAATATAAATTTTAAATATAATTAAATTATATATAATTAAATTAAATATAAATAAATATAAATTATAAATAGATAAATGAATGTATAATACTATTCAATATATTTTGTAGTGCTTAAAGCACTATATCTGACAATATTTCACTCCTATTCAGGGGGTTTTTAGTAGCTACACATTCAGGGGAAGTCTGGCTCTCCTTATTCTTAGTCTATCTTAGTCTGGAATCTTCAGTGAAACCTGTCCAGATGGGTGTTCCTGCTTGTATTTAAAATACTGGTTTTAGATCTTCCAGCATAACAGCAACATGTGAGGCACCACAGTATGACAAACTGGCAGTTGAGTTGTGGAATTAAAGCATATATAATTTTGAAAAATAGGGCACATTTTTATTCTGAGACAAGGATGTTAACTTTAATTCTGCTGTATATTATTGGATCATAAGTCATATTTTCCAAACTTAAGTAGTTCTTTGGGCATTTAAAAATGGTATTTTTAATTTTATTATAATAGTGTTGAAGACCATATTATGCATTCTATTAATACTTTTCACATTTTAGAGCTTTGCTTATAAATCAATGTACACTTTATTGCTTTAAAAATTCTGTGTATCATTAAAAAGAATCTATGCATGTTGTTGAAGATTTTTCTATATATATAACAGTACAAAACTATTCATTTTATTTTTAATATTCTTAATGGATCTGCTTACCAATTTTTCCTGGGAATCCTATCACTTACAAATTTACTGATATTTAAATTATTAGTACGTATTATGTTATTAAATTATTAGTACATTATTATGGTTCTAGCTATAATCATTCCATTTTTTTTTTAATACTTGTATAAGATATCTTCCTTCATAATAACTTTGTATCTTAAAATGTATTTTTCATGGATTAATATTGCTGCATATAATCTTTATTAATTCCTAATTAGTATAATTGTATATGTTGCCCTGACCACTTTTTTTAGTCCTTTGTTTCAAATATTCAACAATTGAATTCAACCTCTTGCCATTTATAATCATTTTTAATACACTTGAAGTTTCTTTTGCTATCTCATTGATTATTTTTCTTGCATTTCATTTTAACTTCCCCTTTTTATTTCTTTTCATTGAATAAATTAAAAAAAAAAAATCTTCTTTGGTTTCTAAGTTATACATTCTAATTTTCTTATAATAATTGCTCCTAAATTAGGATTCAGAAATTTCATAATAAATTATTGCAAATTAGCACATGCCCATTTTGTTGACCTGCTTCAACCTTAACCAAGTTTGTTTTTCTTTCCTTTGTTTCTATTTTCTAAAGAGAAAAATTACATATGTAAAGACATTTACTAGGCATATTAGTCTATACAATTCTTTAAGATTTTGCAATATCTCTGCTAGATATTTACTCCAAGAGGTTATCAAAATGGATCTTTTTGTGGAAATCCTTTTGACATCTCATATGCTTTGGCATTTATTTGAATGCCAATTTAGGACTCACTTTGTGAATGTATAAGAACTCACTTTGAACTTGGTTGTTTAAAATTTTTGGCTCAACAGTACACTGTTCCTATCTTAATCCAAACATTCTACTTATCATGTCACCTAGTTATATCAAGATTCCATTTCTATTGGAAATATGCCACATCATATCATATACCAATTAAAATTGTCTATGGCTTAAATTTTTAAAACATAAAACGGATAAGGGAAATCATGTTCTGAAATCAATTATGCTTCTTTTCCATATACAGGCACATACATACCCACATGTGCTGTTGAGCCAGTTCTGACTCATAGTGACTCTGTATGGGGTATCCAAAGAGTGTCTGGTGAGTTTGAATCACCAACCTCATGGTTCAAACCAACCTTGCAGTAGAGTGCTTTATCCTACAGTACCACACCAATATACACCACGTTTGTGTATTGTTATTATTAAGTGCTGTCTCGGTGGTTCTGTTTCTCTGCTATTAATAAGGTTTTCAGTGACTAAATATCCAGAAGTAGTTTGTCAGTCCTTCTTCCTAGTCTGTCTTCATCTGGAAGCTCATCTGAAACCTGTCGACCATGGGTGACCCAGCTAGTATTTAAAATACTGATGGCATAGCTTTCGGAATCACAGCAACTCACAAGCCACCACAGTAC